GCAAGGTATTTTTGTGTAAGAGGTCTTGCTGGTGGGTCTGCAAACTTCATGTAAGTAGCTTCATTTACTACAACAGACTTGCTTCACTAAGGTAATATAGGACAGAGCCTTTTGTTTTGCATGGGAGGCACCTCTCTAGGGTTGCAGTATTAAGATTTCTTCCCCTTTCTTACCTAAAAGAAAATTAAAAACTAATTGCTCCTTAAAAAGAAATATAAATTAGAAGATTTTCTTTGAGCCCCCTTGTGTCTGTTAAAGACACAACTTTCCAGATCTTATTTGCTCTTTGGCATTTATGCTTTTGATACAAGCTTTCTCACAGCAGAGCAGATAGCTGTCTTCCTTGACCTACTGGTGCTAGAAATCTATTCAAAAGAAACTGCTGAAGACTTCGCACTCTGAGGCGTGGTCCTCGCATGAAAACATGCATAGCACTGCAATCGAGCTCATGCCATCAGCAACGAAGGATAAATGCAGCCATCCACCACGCTTACACAAAGTTATTTTTCTTTCTAGAGGAGAATCATAGTAACGAGCATCTTCTGTTCTGCACCTCTGCATAGAAACGGATGCTTGTGAGAACGCTGACTTCAGACATGAAGCATTCGTAGCAACACTCAGTATTGATTCCAGAAGCTCTAGATTTTAAGGACCACAGGAATCCTCTCTCCCCACCTCCTGCATGGCACGAGCCAGAAAATTCTCCCCATGATTCCTGCATCTGAGCCCAAAGCACCTGCACAGTCATATCTTCTCACTGCATCGAAGGAGTCGCCCACTTATTCTGATGGTTAACCACCCCTTTATCATTATGAATCATTTTAACATCAAATTTAACGTCATGGGATGCTACCCTGCGTTGGCCTGCTACACTGAAGACCCATCAAGTTGCATGTTTACTCAAGTGGAAGTAACTCACTTTGATCATCACCTTACTACTGGAGAACTTGACTTTTCTCTCGCGTGGGCCTCTAATGCTTTTTCAAACAAAATGGATACTATAATGGTTTTGGTTTGTTCTGTTTTTTTTATAGAAACACTTTATTGCTGCAGTCAATAACCCTGTGTATCACACACAAATAACCAATTACAGTTTAAGAAACTAAAAATAATTCTGCAAGTGGTAATACTGAGAAAACGAACATACATGAAAGGATACAAAACTATACATTTAAGTTACTAGAAATTTACTAACTAAAAAATTCTGCAGAAGTGTGAAGTGTCTTGTATAAACTATACAACACATGCCAGTGTAAAGTTGTTTAACATTATGCAATTACCTACCTACAAATGTTTTACCTAAATACAAGATCAGCTGCGATTTTTAAACAGTTATCTTCCGTACAAAGACAAGTGCTTTCAGTACTTCATTGGAATATACAGACACTGCAATACCTCAAAACTAAAAAATAATCACAAAATAAAAGGTCCCACTTAGAAGTTTTCTTTGCATATCTAATATAACACTGTGAAAATCCAGCCAGCAATATCCTTGCTTTTGTATTTGCCCTGTTTCACCCCTATTTGAGAGGGACCCAACCCAGAATCACCAACCTCCCCTTCATTGCTGGCTACAACCTCCACAGCAGACTACACCAGAAATCTATACCTCAACACACTTCAGCTTTAGGAGAAATTTGGACCCGGCTCCCACTTTGTAATAGATACTTACCCAGCCAAACACAGGGCAGAAGCAACCAGCTCCCATGCGTGGCCGTATCCATGCATCACTTCAACGGTTTGTGAAGAGCGGCACGCCAAGAGAGCCCTTCCTCACAGCACCGCCACAAGTGGGATTGATGCCCTGATCAGTACAGGGGATGGGCAGAAGTGGGCTTGGACAGGGAGTTACTATTGCTTCCCAGGATTTCCCAGGTACACCACGGAGGCCCAGCACTTCTCTAACCCCTTGCAGGCTGAGCGTAACCTTTGTGGAATCTGTCCTGGAATCTCGCCTGCTGAAGCAAAGCCAATCTCAACGACATTCAACCAGAGTAAGCTGCCCCCAGGTCTAGCCATCTCTTCAGAACACAGGGCAACATTTTAAACACCATCCCCGCTCCCAAAATACAGGGTTACGGTTGAAGAAAGTCCTGAGAATTCATAGGAATTTAACATCTCATGATCTCTTAAATGGGATCAACCTTCTGCAGCACACACCTGTATTTCTAACATACTGCATGTTCATGACCTGGCAGATACACCAAATATGACACAGCGGGGAAATTTCCTTGGCACAGCCGGTGCTTTTTTGGACAGGATTTAAGTCAATGCAATGGGAGTAGGGTCATATGTCTAGGGCATGGGACACATCAGCAAAGGCTCTGGCAATCTAGGGAAGGGACCGTGGTAGATGGTATTAAGCCTATATTCCCTCCTACTTAAATTCTGGTCTCAGAAAAGACCCAGGTAACCCAAACTAACTTTGGCCAAGGAACAAGGACCAAAAAACAGTCGGACTTCTATTTCAGTCATTTCAAAAGCTGCCAGAAGGAAGTGTTGGAAAACCTGACCTGACAGGGGGTGGTCGTTCCCCTTACTGACATCTGGGCGGGAAGGACAGAGCTCACCTGAGCTAGCATCAGTGCCTCACAGCTGGAAGCTGAAAACAAGTCAACAGTATCTCCTTGAGGAGAAAGAAGGAAAAAGCACCATTCAGCCTTCTCACACCATTTGATGGCACCATGCAGAAGCAGAGAACTGCAGCTCCAGAAACCCACTGTTAACACCAAGCAAGAATCAGCATGAGAATTGTGACCAGCATAAATGAAAACCCCTGACACATGGATCTCTCCTGCAGCCCTTCCTGGTATGAGCATTCCTAAGCAGTTTAAAGAGTTTAAATATTAGGCCTTAATTTTCATTCAGAAAAGACCTGCTGGGAGAGGGAATGGTTAGCAGCAACACTGGCTAAAACAGTTTCATCCACAAATATGTTTCCCCAGAAGATTTTTCTTCCCAAGTTAAGATACAGGGGCACAGCAAAAATCCTGAATACACTGAACGCTACCTGGCATGTGCCACATGGAGCTTCCAAAACACCAAATGAGATTTCATAATGTTTTATCAAGAATCAGGTATGACAGTGATTGAAACAGGACCAGCACATTACAGTAAGCCATATCGGCACTTGTCAGAACATCAGTCAGACACCAGTGCCTCTCAGGTTTGAGCTGGAGAAGGTTTCACACCAGAACTTGTCGATTTTCATTTCACCTACTGGCCACAGATCAGGTGAGAACGCGCACAGCATCAGTCGGCAGCTGATTCTGTGCATCTTGCAGCTGTAACATGAGCATCTTGCAGACATGTAAGCCTTGTGCACTTGGGCATTTCCGAAGAACATGATGAAGGTGTGTAAGACCTGATATTTAACCCACCTGAGTTTATCTAGTAAATCTTTTCACAGAACAAAATAGAAAACAAAACAAGACAGTGTATTATCTGGGTTCTCGTAATAGAAGAGGATCACCCACAGCAGAGTTCAGGAAAGGGCCCGAGTAATTGCACTTTAAATTAGGGCAGGCATAGGCAACAAACTCTACATGCGTATGGTCACGAAGACCGCTGCCCCGCTACTAGCAGGGTATGCAGGGTTTGTCTGCCTGTATCACATAAGCATGGGACATCCTGACACCTAGCCAGTACACAAACCCATGCCAGTGCAGCTTTGCTAGGACTGCCTAGAGGTCTGGGTATTTTAAAACATCTCAAGAGCAAGGTACCATGTTGTTCATGAAGATCACAGCCAGTAAGCTTCAAGTATGAGATCACACAGAGCCACGCACGCACACACACGCTTTTCCTCTAACAGCTCTTAGAAACCATTGGTGTGTGTTCTCTTACCATAGTCCCTTCTCTGCCTTCTTTTAAAATACTAATTTAGAAATAAATTAATATTACATTTTGAGGAAAAAAATCACCGATCTCTTACTGTTATTCTTTGGGAAGTCTTAAAGCAACTACTGTTATTATGAAAAGAACTTGCCCGATGAAAGTTGTACTTGAAAAAGACTAAATAAAACCTGAACCGCAGCTGGGGATTTAGTTCAGTATCTCAACAAGTAAACAGAAGCTTTTACCTAACTGAGAAGTCCAGGCAATTCCTACTAAGACCAACCAGAAGATTATCATTGACTTTACAGAGATTTAGACAGGGCTCAGGTATCGTGTGCTGACTTTTTGTGGGGCTTTGCTTCTCAGTCACACTGAGACGTTGGTTAAATGAGGGCTTGAAGCTGGACAGTGGTTCAGTGAAGCAGATTGGTATAGCAAATTAGCAGCAGACACCCCAGGCTTTGGGCAACTCTGCCTAAAGCCCCACAAACAGATTTTAAAGCTGTCCCTCTCTTTTCATTAAGGCTGACTGATTAAAAAGCCAGTCCCAAATTCAAAAGCACAGACAAAACTATTCTCTAACCATGTAATGCATCACATCAGAACGAAAACCAGGCAGGTATTTTTAAACTCATCCACTTAATGCAATATTTACTTCCTAGACTTTGATCTCAGCATCTCCTCTGACAACGTGAAATTCTTGGGTAATTCACACATGACACAGCACTAAAGAAGGAAAACCAATTTCAGCTGTATTGACTAAGTATCTTTTTTTTGATAACAGCTCACATTTTTACCAATATAGCAACAAACCCTTTGCCAATGGTTTGGAATGAAAGTTACATCAGGTATGTATGTGTAGGTGCGTTGATGGTTTGACCTGCTGAAAAAAGAAGCAAAACCAATCCCAAAACAGAGCACTGAAACCATTACGCATTGAAAACGAACACTGTACACATCCACCACTCCCCATACACAAGTCACAGGTGCAATATCCTTTGAAAAAAATTGCTCTTCAAAGGAAACCAAAAGAGGCAGAGTTTTTTAGTGTTAAGTTCAGTAAGATAATGTGGGCATGTGTTGGAAATCAGAGGTTGGAACTTTTTTTAATTTTTTTTTCTTATAAGGCAAAAGGTTTACGTTCCAGAAGAACAGATGGGGTAAAGAATGAAGAAATGTTTTGAAAATGACACATTCTTTCAAGTTTCATTCCAACTTGACATACATATTACAAAATAAAGATTTTTAAAAGTGCTATATGCTTTGTAAGTCTCATCACAATATGTAAAGCAAAATTTTACACCTGCTGCCTAAGACAAAATGTTAGTGGCAGTGTTAGCGGTAGACTAGACTCTAGCTCTCTCATTTCCCTCAATGTCTGGGACAACCTCCTTCATCACGCTTAACGAACAAACAAACAAACAAACAAACAAACCCCACTCTACACATATTCCAGAATCATTTAGAGTCATCTTCTAAAGTAACAGACTCCATGAAGTTGACGACAGTTCACTAGCGGCTTGCTTGATAACCAAACCCAAGGCTCATTCTACCCAGTATCCTGTGGCTCTTTGATCAGCCAGTACGAGAGACAAAACGTTGAGAGGTATGCAACCATGATGACATTGACAGATATGCCAAAGGGATTTAAAAAAATTCCAACAAAAAACAAATGTAAAAAAATTCATCCGCCAGCCCTCAGCTGTTAGCCGATTTTAAAAAGGTAGAGCAGTTTGCAGTAAACAATGATATTTAAATCCTCACGGACATACAGAAACAGCCCTCCAACCCAGCAATCAGACGTGAAGGATTTCTGCAGCACAGTCTTCTGGCTCTGTGTAATGTGAAGAGTTTGTGTCTGAATGGTGAACCCCAAGCATTTCTTTACTTTCGAAGTTTGGCTCCATTAGTGCAGGTTTTTCAAAAATATTCTTTTTGCTAGTTTCCGGACAGTTTTGTACATATATTACTCGGTTATAAGCTTTAAGTCTCTTCCACAGCTGTACGTACACTTTGCATTGTACATACATGAACAGAAGTCCTCCAGTGAAACCAATAGCCACAACCACCAGCTTAGTCCAAAATGGCCACTCTAGAATCCCTGGAAGAAAGAAAATAAAAAAAGAAAAAAGAAAGAGGACCTGGTCAATATTGGCTGGACTACATTGGATCTCTCAAAAACATCCTGTAAGGAAACTGTCACAGAGTTTGGGCCATGCAATCTATTCTTATTTTGTTATTTTTCTTGTTTGGCCTTTTTTTCCCCCCTTCAAGTCAAACACATGCAGACTTCTACTTCACATATCACATTTGTTCTCACCCACCGGAGGAAAAACAAAACAATTGATTCTCTGTGTCTGCGCCCTTGTGCGGCACAATCATAAACAGAGTCAAGGCAACAGCCAGTAATATGTTTAGGTCTTTTTACACCTGTTTTTAAACAAAAATTGGATCAGATGATGAAAGGGATTCTATGGCATGGTTTCCTCTTCATAGCAGGAGACTCAACTCAGTGACCCAAGAAGTCTGTTCCACTCTGTGATCACACAGTACACGGAGTCATAGTCATTAAACTCAAAAGGGAATGATTGTTACCACCTAGCTTGACATGTTTGTTATGCAGACCACTTTTATCTGCATCAGACCCAGTAACTTGTAGTTGAACTAAAGTGTCTCTTCTGATGCAAAACTGCAAGCGTTGGAGATGCTGAAGCATTCTGGCAAGCTTACCCTCTGTCATTAAAAATGACCACCATTACTTTTCCTGAATTTTTCTAGCTTGAACTTTTAGACATTGGATCTTGTTACATCTCTATCAACTACTTTTAAATGAGAGACTATTCATTTTACACATCTTCCGCTTACATAGGTCCTGTATCCATCCAGCCTCTCTCCTCTTTAAAGATAAGCGGCATCACAAGATGGATATGAAACCATGCTGAATCACCCACTATCAGGTTTCTCAGAGGATAAAATCATGGCCTTCCAAGTCTTCAAAGTTTTTAACGAGATACAGACCAGTGTTCTTTTGGAAACGCATGGTAGCGTGGGAGAAATGAAAATATTTTAGTCCCAAAATACAAAGGGCACGGCAGCGTGACTACTGATGAAATCCCACCCGTGATTAATACCTGAACCTCTGATTCACAGGTGAGCCATCTGATGCCATCTGTAGGCAGTGATAGTATATGCTTGCCCCTGTGCAGACATGAATGTATACCGCCACACACCCAGCTCATTACAGCACTCCTCAGATTTCAAATCCAAATGAAGGGAGCAAAGAAGGCACTATAACAAGTACTAAATATTCCTCCTATTCATGTTCATCTAATACATTTATTGGCTAAAATAACCTGGAGATGATAAATCTTTGACAGCATATGCTTTTCATTATCATGTGGAAACCTTACACCAAAAGGCTAACAGTTTTCACCATACATGGAAGAGATGGGGTTGGATGGAACAGAAACTAGAAGATTTCATTCAAAGCAGCTTCCTGACTGAAGTAATGAACAATCAAATTACAGCCCAAATGAGAAATGACAGCAAAACTGTTCAGTTTGAAGTTGATTCTGCTCTGAAGAGACTGTAACAGCTCTGTGGATTTGCAGGTTTACGGATGCTCAGCTACCTCCCCAGAAAAAACCAGCAAAATATTTTCCACCTGCATGTCTAGTTGGCATGCAATGCTCTGTGAGCAAGGACAGCTTGCCTTCTAATGGCTCCCAGCCTTGGTAGATACCCCATCCCTTCTATCCCCACCTTCAGGGACAGCTCAGCTGCCCGAGAAACAGTTCTGTGAAAGCTGCAAATTTGCAGCCCAGCATACCCAGGTAAACAGATTCCAGTTTGGTAAGTTTACAGCTGGCATACTAAAGAAAACCTACTATTCAAGCAGTTAAGACACCCCTGCAGCGGTGAATTGCAGTGATCCTCATCTCAGTTGCGTGAATTGAAGTCCTAAGAATCAACCTGAACTTCCTCTGCTTTAGGCAGAACCAGTCATAAAAATTTCTCCAGTCTAACACGGCTCTCACAGGAAACTTGTGCTAACCCACCTCACATATGACCGAATAGAAAGAAAACCCTGTTGATTTACTGCAAAGATTTGAATTTAGGTTCCTCTTACTTCTTCTCTTTTTAAAAACTGTTCTGGTTTTGCCCAGTTAGAAGGTAGCCATAGCAGCAAACAAATGCTTATGTCCTTATCTGCTCAGGAAGTGTTCCGATTCAAAACTAAATTAGCTAAGGCAGCGCAATTTTGTGTCTGGCTGTGGATTAGCTCTCATATCTGTGCCTTTCACAAGTGCAAACTAAATTGACTTGAAATAGACTTAAAAAGCACTCACAGATGAATTTACACTGATTTAACTAAATCATTTTAGAACTGTGCTTTTAAACCAACCCAACCTCAGGCTAAAGCTGACTATCTAAGTATAAACATTACCTGCACACTCATGCTCTGCATCCTCTCTGCATTCAGTATAAATAATTATTCCAAGAGAGTAAGTGGGAAGATAAGCAAGTAACATACCAGTAGTCTGTCCCTGTTTAATCTCTTCAGCGGTCCTGTCTATCAGGACATAGAGAGACCACACAACGCAGGTGATGGCAATGATATGGAATGTTACAGAGCACATGATCTTCCTCCTCTCGCTGGCCGTCATCTGCAGCTTCTCCCACTGGCAAGAAACCCAGAAGCAGAGCAAGAGATTAGGGTATTTACTGTAGTTACTGGAGAGTATAAAAAGAGAACATTGATAAGAACAAAAACCAGGCAGGAGACCAGTTTCCTCCTAACACGGATTTTAAAAGTCAGACGGCATTATTGCTCTGACCACAGCATGTGTGCGAGGGCTGGCAGCTCACCCTGCTGTGCCGGGGAGGACCTCCAGTGCTCAGCTCCGATCCGGAGCCGCAGCACAATGTCATCGCACCCTGCTTACCCACACAGGGGCAGCTCCAGCACAGAGGGACCCTACCAAGAGGCCTTGTGCAGCACAAGCAAAGCTGGTCCCTTGTGTGTTCCCCACTCAGCAGTGGGTACCCACAGTCACAGCTGAGCACCGTGAGTGGCACAGGGTACCCTTGCTCAGGCAGGCATTCAATAAAACACTGCAGTAAAAGTGGCACATGATCCAACTGACCAGTGCGTGTAAGACGTCTCACGCTGAGCTCTGTTAGAGTCCCTTGGTGCACAGTCAAGGCTGTTTAGCTCTCAGCTCAAGGCTGTTTAGTTCTCACCTCCTACCTCTGTGGGTTTCATTCAGTCTTCACATATATTTAACGCTACTTACAGCAGCGACACCCATATTTTATTTTCAGTGTTTCTAGTGCACTTAAATACATGTGCCCTAAGAACATACAGTAGAACTGGGGTGACAGCTTTTGTAAGTGAGAGGATGCAGCAAATTAAATCCCCGGACTTGCATCTATCAATAATGTTTACACAGCCCAAATAGTACCACAAAGTCAGGTCGCTGTCATTTAGGAAAGATACAAAGAAACTAGACATTTATTATACATGCTTCTAATATGCAAGGAATTGTTCAAAAACAGCTGTTATTTTTTTTAACTAAGACACCCAGAAGCTTTTTTTTTTAATTATTTTTTGGCAATTCCCCCTATGTATATGATGAAAGTTTTCGCATGTGGGACACAGATCCCTCAGCATATCTGCTTGGAACAGAGAGTTAAGATGGGCTTTTCTCACACTGTCACAAAATATATGCTGGGGTACATAAACTTCTCATACCTACCTATGTGTTTCTAGAGAGGTGCATTTGATGTCTCCTAAAATAATTTGTAGAAAAAGAGGATTTTGAAAAGGAGGAATAATGTGGAAGATAATGAGGATGACCTGACTGGTATGATTGAGATCACCCGTTATGTTGAATTATTGTTTCCACTGCTATAAATACAAGAATGGTTGAACCCTGAAACAAAGCCTTTGTGATCCTCTCTGTCTTGCCAAGAAACAATCTCTTTGGCCAGTCCAAGCCACATCTCCAGTTCTGTGGGCATGCAAATCTCATCATGGCATGACAATTGAAGACTTCCAGCAATGACATGCTAAAAAGCTATATTCTTTCAATCTTCTTAGAAAAAGATTGGACAAAACATTCCTTTTGGATGTTGGATTTTAAACAGAAAATTGTTTTTGCATCTAAACAAAGGTATTTACTTTTGATAGAAAGTATAAATTAATTAATTAATTTTGTCAAAAAGTAAGCATGTGAAATCTAGTTGTGAATGCTTTTACAGAGTCGTGAGGACTTGTGTTTTGACTAATTTATATTTCTCTTTTCTGTTCCACAGCTTGAGCTCCTCCACTGGACAATACCTCCTGTGAACAGCTGGCTCCACAGCCACCAAACCAACCCACACCACCTCACCTCTCCAAGAGGTATGACTGCACAGCAAAAGAGAAGATATTCTGCAAACTATGCACTAGCCCAGAGAGGAAACTAGCATCTGTAGGTCCCTGCTGCATTATTCCGACGACACAGCAGGCGGCATTTCCCAGTTAAAATAGTCAGCACTTCTGGGTTTTTGAAGTGGTGTTAAAACAAAAAATTCAGAAGAAAATTTAGATTTCTTCTTTTTTCCCATTGAAATTTTAAAATGGAGCATCCCTCTCTTTTCTCCCCTCATCTCTACTTGAATCGTGACACGTTTTGTTTCTCGTCTTCTTCCCTTAGTAACTTAGTGTTTGAACAGCCCAATGCTGCGATACAACCTTAACACGCTGAGGAAGTTTAATTCCATTTCTACCCTACAGACAAGCACAAGCCCTGTTATTTGTCCCATCCTGTCCATAATCACCAGTTCCAGACTGTTTTCTCCTGACTGACAGGATACCATAAAGGCTGAGTTGATGATACAGAGGCAGCTTATCTTCTGGCTGCAGCTGAACCCCTAAAAAGACTCTTTAGATATATTTGAGAGGTAAATTCCTTCTTCTCCTTCTGTTTAGGGCTCTGTCCCTACCTCCTGGCAGCTGGTCTCTTTCCCATAGATGACATGTTCAGATATAACTAATGATGCCAAGTGACTCATTTCTGAAGGTGCCCAAAAGCTTTTACTCACAGGGCACAAATAGTCAGAAAATGTTTCCCACCCACTCCAGGCAGAGAAAGCACAGAAAAAACAGCAGCAAATTACCAACTATAGCAACTCTTTTTACTTGAGATCCTCTAGAGTAATTTCTTTAATGTCCTATGGCTGGGCTGTGCAAAGTATTGTCTATGATGGCCAATATTGCAGCTGAGAGGTACTACACTCTGTGCCAAGGGGCTACCAAGGAAAAACTTGCAGTTCTTAGGAGGCAACGATTCACCACAGTCATAAGCAGAGGTTGTCCTATCAACTGGACACGCTAAGCTATATGCTTTGCAGACTGTACATCTTCGTAAAAAAGATAAAAGGTGTTTGAAATCGACTCTATTTTCTGCGAGGAGTCACTTTTAGGAATTGGACAAGTTCTCATAACAGCTTTCGGATGGCTGCAGTCCAGAGACCCCACCCTACATGAATTAGGCTCATCATAATTGAATTTAATGTTTCTCATTTATTCTAGTTCCAGACTGAGGTTATTGTTATTAACCTTTTCCATGTTGGTAGACGTGGCAAGATTTGTCTGTGCTAAGAATACCAGTGCCTTCCATCTCAAAATCCTGATGGTAAGGACCAATTGAAATGGAAAGCTCGGAGGATGTGGGAGATCAAAAAGGACGCAAGCACAAAACTGGCCTTACAATACAAGTAGCATTTAAGTACCTATACTTTAAGTCACCGGATTTATGAAAAGTACTTTTCTATAAAATAAAAATACAGGTTCTAGCAACTCGAAGCACTAAAACCTAGTCATTCACAGTCTAAGAAAAGATAAAAATGAAAACACATTTATTGGTGAATGGCCTCAAGTTGCACCAAGGGAGGTTTAGATTGGACATTAGGAAAAATTTCTTTACTGCAAGAGTGGTCAGGCCTTGGAACAGGCTGCCCAGGGAAGTGGTGGAGTCACTACCCCTGGAAGTATTTAAAAGACGTGCAGATGAGGCGCTTAGGGACATGGTTTAGTGGGTATGGTAGTGTAAGGTTGACGGTTGGACTCGATGATCTTAGAGGTCTTTTCCAACCTTAATGATTCTATGATTCTATGATTCTTCTTCTACTTACACTGTAATATTTTCACTAAGATAGGTTTGCTCCTTTAAAAAGGAAAAAAGCTACAAATTTTAACCAAATTACACTCAGAAAGTGTGATTTAAAGTAAGTTTAACCTCAAATCCTCATATTTTCAAGAGAACTTAAAAGCCATGTGGATCTTGGAGCAGAAAACTAAAGCAGATAACAGTAATAGAAAATTCCATATTTAAAATAAACGTGGATAACTGCAGAGCAAATACTTTTGTGCAGCAGCTCTAAAATGTAACTGTAAAGAAAAAAATCACGTTGCTGCATGCACATATGTATATGTGTGTGTGCATGTTTGTACATTTACACACAGAGAGCTGCCAGACTTAAATAGCTAACTCTCAGAGCTGGATTCACTGATGTTGAATTTGCCAGGCTGAGTGTTAATTTAAATCCTTTTGCACCAATACAAAACTGACCAGACTTACTAAGGAGCCACAGAAACGTGATAAATACGTGGGGGTGCTGCGGGTTCACAGGCAAGGTCAGCCTCTTTTCAGAGCGGATCTGTGCTTAACAATGCATTTCCTTGGGGAAGCAGGTCTTGCGCCTACCTTTCGCAAAGGCTTCAATTTTGTCTCCATGATGAACTCATACTTGCACAGTTCACAGCATCGCGTATCTGAGCTCTTGATCCATTGCTGCAGGCAGGCTTGGTGCACAAAATGAAGACTTCCCGTGCAGTGACAGGGGGTAATCAAAGGGCTCTCATCATCTCCTTCACAGTGACATATCCTGAATCAGAAGCAAAGCTGCTCATTAAGGGAAGAGGAAGCAGAAAGGATGTGGAAGAGGCATGTAGTATCTGTGATCACACATGGTTGTCCACTGGGGATCCTGAGACATACATATCAAAGGAATGTGTTCCATAAAGGAGCTAAAACTAAAGAACTCCGTTTCTGCGCAAGCACATACACAGGCACAAAATAACTGAGCACAGACACCGCTAACTAGACAGCTGCTTTCTAACAGATGAGGCGGGCACACACAGCCTGACAGAAATGCAGTATCCAAAAGAAAAAACAGGGTAAGAAATGACAACGCTTCATCTAGAACAATAGCGCTTAACTGAAAATTGCATTTAAACAGATCAGACAGCACTTCCCAAGACAAAATGTGCACAGAGAGGTACAGCTACTCATGGATTACGATCAGAAACTTCTGTTCTGCTTCAACCAATGGTGAAGCAGTCCACCCCAGTATCATGAAGAGTTAATTTAGACAGCCTGGATTTTGCACAAGAGAAGTGACTATTTCTAGTGCCAATTGCTAAGAGACAGATCCACACTGCAAAGCTACAGCACTGAATCTCCCCAAAATACACCTACTCTAAACAGACTAATGGTTTTGCTCTCCAATTCTTACTTTGCAAGAGCTGCTAAGGAAGCATCAGCTCTGCAAAATTCCCCATTTCCCTCACAGCCCAACTGTGCAGACAGCAAGAATACCTGATATAGTGTTACTACCAGGTGCTGGCATTTAATTTCCAGCTTCAATTTATGCACAACCCTTGGGTGCATCAAACATCACTAAGTCCTTCTAACCATGTGGAAGAGGTCATGAATTGAAAGGGGGATGGTAAGGAGCTCAGGGAATGAATATAAGTTACTAAGCATATGTGAAGTACGTCCTGGCATGCTGCCATCCCTGTCTATTACTGAAATCTCTTACTGATGTGTAGCATCTTGCCTCTTGCGACCTTGCTGATAGCTGGCAAGTGGAAATGAAGGAGTGGGTGGATTACAACAGCTTCTTGTTGATGACAAGCCAATTCGGAACTAGATTTTGCTGGTAATGAGGGGGGAAATCAAATAATATTGGCAACTAGTAACAAAGCCAGCTTCAGAAAGTTCTGTCAGGGAGGAGGAAGATTAGGATAGTGAAACACTAGGTAGAGGGATGGGACATTTGCTCCTGTATTTGGTGACTCCTGCTCCTCAGCCACATTTTGGAGCTGGGATGGGGCAGACTTGCAGACAAGTCACATAAAGACAGTCCAGAGCTGCCTGTTCCTACCACCTGTGCACATGATTAATCCTCTGTAGTTGGAACAAGGACACCCATCCTTTTTGGACCTCACTCTATGGACATCACACAGGCCCACCACTAACACCCAGCACTCAGATCCCCCTTTCGACTAAGGCATCCAGAAAGCCCTTTACAAACAAAAGAGTGTGGTGGGATACAAACTGTGAGGAAAAGATGAAAAAAAAAAAAATCTTAAGCTATATTGACCTGATCTCAGAAGCAATTTTTAAACAGTCTGTTTTCCTTCTTACTCCCCACCCTCTGACCAAACCAGCAGTGACTATCAGGACAACACATTGCTCATTAAAAGCTAAGACATGTTCAGCTTGGCCTTTAATACGCGTAGCTGATTCTCTCATGATATTCCCCATTTGGGCACTGAAAAGAGAAAAATACCATCTCAGAATCCCAAACCTGAAACAAATTGCAAGAGAATTTATTTGACTCCAAAGGAAATTCTTTTGTTTAGTAGCCTTGTTAAGTGCATCAGAGGGGTGCAGGACAGCAGAGAGAAGGCTGCATGCTTCAAATCGCACATATTAAAGCAAGATGTCAGGGTGAAAGAAAAGACAGAAACAGCACAAAGGCAGGGGAAAGCAGAACGGTCACCACCGCACATGGGAGGGCTCGAAGGTAGGCGGTTCTCTGGTAAACCAACCTGCAGGTATCCCCCGATGTGGACACAGGGGAGAGAGGGGGGAATTTTTCTGAGAGGGGGGAAGGGCAGTCAAGGTCACTGTCCTTCTCAACTGAACAGAGCGGCGCCCGCTGCCCTTTTGTTTTCAATTTCACTGAGGTGCTGTCCTCAAAGACGTCATCGTCTCCCGTATCATCAGAGCAGAAGTCCGTGCTTTCCACCTGCACGCTGGAGGATTTCTCAGCTTGGAAGTGACTGGAATAGCTCTCCAGTTCATGGAACTTATGCAGGCTGCTGGTGCTGGAGGTGTGGGAGAAGGAAAAAAGGTAACGCAACAGTTTTTTGCTCCTTGAGGTGTCATGGTCCACTTTGTCCTCCAGCAAGGGGATATGTACAGCGCTGTGATTCTCTGCTCCTCCTGATGCACTCGAGTAGTTGGAAAGGGAAGGGATGTAGGAGTGCTTAGAATTGCTAAAAGAAAGAGGCCTGAGATTCAGTGGTTTCCTCTCTTTAAGATGAAATTTGTTAATCCTTAAACACTGTTCTTGAGTTGGGATCAATTTGCCTTCTGAGCGTGTTCGCTCCACATAGTCAAAGCACTCACTGGTGCTCTGCGCCTTCTGGTCCACGTCATTGAGGGACTTGGAGAATTTCAGAGTGCGGGTGGGCTTTACATTCTTAGCAGACCTGAGTGCCTCGCCACGGGAGTTTCTCTTTGCTGCATGTAACGTGTCCTGACAGATTACTGTCACAGTGACCCCTTGTGTCAGAGGGCTCTGGCAGTGAGGATTTTTCAAGACAACAGCAGACTGCACTGGACTGTGATGACAACACTCAGAAAACACTGCACTGGAACTGCATGCAGAACAGTGGAATAGAAGCACAGAAAGTAAAAAACAATTACATAAGAGAACACATATAATTAAAAGTGAAGAAATGAGAATTACGGCTAGTGTGGGAATGGCAAACATAGCAGGGCCAAACAGTCAGTGGGATTCAACGAAGCAGTGTTAGACAGCAGTCGAGTCAAACAAATGGATGCTTCATACGGGAACCCCACATCGCTTACTTCCCCATACATGTGCTTTTTCAGTTTTGTTTTCTCTTAATTGGAACCTCGCACGAGCCTCACTGTATCCATGCAAACAACACACTTTACCTGCAGATGTCCTGGTTGGATGGTGTAACAGAAGTCCGAGAGAAGCTATGAGGGGCAGAGATAGAGGTTGGACTTCCAGCCTGCAGTGAAATTCAAACAAACAAACAAACAAAAAGCAAGTCACAAGTTGGAAGAGTTCGGTATGCACAGCAATCACCTTCAGGGTTAAACACAGCGTATGGAGTCAGATATCACTCCACATCAGCTATTCAAGGGCTAGTTGCAAGAATGTGGCTTTATTGTCAAATGCTAGAAAGGGAGGTCACACAGCCTCATCCTTGGAAAACTAGTAATAAGAACAGAAACGTTTTCCCCCAAGGTCAAATGCAGCCATCTCTGGAGCGGAACCTGCCAGCTGTCAAACATTGCACAGAACAATAGCTCAGGAAATGAGCAATGCTACAGTAATTAGAGTAATTAGATGGAGGTGTGTGTATAGCCTAGTCAGAATTTAGCTACCACATAATAGCTAATCCTTCCACTTATAATGATGACAAGAGATTAGAGGCTTGTGGTTTTTTTTTCACAAGACAGAACCATCAGTAATTCAGTAACTCAGACACTATTTGGGGACTTATTTTCCGTACTAGCATATGCACATGAGCACCATCTGCCAAACCAGAGCATTCCCTGAAGTACTCTCTGTACTTTGCAAGGCCTTTCATCCTGCTTTTACTCTGGCAGGATCTTCCACCTACTTGGAGAAGAGGTGTGGCAGCAGTCACATTCGTAAGACCCAACAAGAGCACAGTGAGAAACAGAGTAACTGAAGAATTCAGAATTCAGCTGAACTAACTCAAAAAACAAAGTTAAGCTCTTGGCATATTTAACACTTAACAGACAAGCTTCTAAAATCAGTATGATGAGAACGATCGTTGTCTCAGAGCTGGGACTCCATGGGCTATTATTACAGGCCTTTTCTGCCGCTATATTCTGCGGGTCAGTAACAGAAACTTCTCGACTCTTCCTAGAGGTTTTGGCGAGGAGGAGGCCTGTGTTGATAACCTCGTAATATAGAATCTTTAAACCTGGTTCTCCCATGTTCCACAGCTGCTGGATAGGCTGTGCTGCTCACCCACCGCTGCAAAACACTGCTCGCGTTGCAAAATTCAAACAAAGGCTTCCAGCTCTTTTGATCTGCAAAGCAAAGCCTGAAATCCAGGAAGGAACAATGCAATCAGCAGAACAACAGAAGTGTCAACACCACGCTGGGCTGCACAAAAACCAGCACAGCCAGCACAGACCTGGGCCAGGCAAGTGCACAAAGCCAGACTAGGAGAGACCTCAGGTCACGGAAGGTGTGTTGCCACAGAGGCAGGCTGTGCCCAGCCCTGTACTTCAGCTTGAGACACCAGAGCTAGCTCAGTCATCACTGCTTTGAGGATCTCTGGTCATGGTGCAACACACACACAATATCTGTCTCAGGTCTCTTCAATTCGATACTTGATTTATTAAAAGCCCCTATGGTATATTTAAACAAGGCCACTGCAGGCTTTTACACTCTCATAGCAAAAGCAAGGTTCCTTGTCACACAATACACTCCTCGAGAGAAGATGGGTATACTAGGATACAGATGCTACTTTATAAATACAGATACAACGATCATCTTCCGTGTTACAGGACTCATCTGTTAAGGTTTTGTTTCTCTAGCCAACAGCCCTAGTATCTGGCCTCACATTGGGACGTCTCAGGTGCACCAAGCCTGAAAAAACAGGTATCCATTTACAGCTGGGTCTGCAAGAGTCGAGGGCAAGACTCAAACACACACCTCTGGATCCGTAGCAAGACACTGTAACTTATTTCTCATCCTACCCAGCTAGGTACATGTATAGAATAAAAAACAAATGAATAACCTTGGGCCAGAAAGCAAACTGAACTATGTTATGATTGTGACAAAACAAATTAAAGACTTAAAGATCATTTATTGGCTTTATCCTGGAAACTACGGTTCTTTGCATTTTACACCACTTGCACATGTTAATGATATAGGATGCTGATCATACAGTGAGGTGCATTCAGGTATTACTTGGAAATTTGCTCTCTATTTGACGCTTAACCTCACCTAAAAGCAGGTACATCTCTGATTTCAAATCTTTAAAAAGAGCTTGTGCAGTAATTACTTTTTTGTAAAGAAAGACTGACAAGTTAGTGAAAGACCTGACACACTATAATCTGCTGCTACAATTATGCAAATGAAACTTAATCAGACTTAAATAATGAATTATTTAAAAAGACATATTTAGCAATCTTCTAAAAACAAAATATTGAACTAGTAAAACAGCATGTTGCATTCTGCCATGGAAACAGAGCCATATATTGTTGGAACTGAAGTCAAAAATCAATTAATAAATCTGTCCCAGGTTTTATATTATGAGCAAATCACAGAAGGTAACCTGCTTAGAATGAATCCAATCTCTCTACTCCTTCGCTTTAGCAATGAAGCTTTCTAAAAAAAGATAGCGGTATATATGATGTGACAGTCTAATAGCAGATGACTAGTTTCAATGATCCAAAATTTCCCTTCCAAAACCATGTTGCTGGTTCCTTGATCCAACTGCCTCGCACCAAGACAGTGTCAAAGTCTCGCCACTTGGGAAATCAAAAGGCTGGGACAAACAAGAAATTGTGGAATTTCATTTGCATTTCAAGCTTACTATTCTGTTTCTAGATGCCAGCACTGTTCAGGACAGCTTGCAAAAACCCCACATCTGAGGCACATTTCTTCTTCCTCCTATCTTCCTGCTTCAATACAGGAGGTCCTTTGCTCCATCTTTATAAATAATGTAAATGCAACCAAAATATGAACAGAAGTTAACACACTTGGAAAGGCACCACAAAGTGGAGCAACAAAATATTGGAGGAAGTTATGCCCCACTCTCGGTTTAAGCTAACGTAAGCTGTCACTACCACCAAAAGCCACGGTTCAATGAGCCTCCAGTCTCTCAGTCCATCCTCCTTTCCTCCCATGCTTTTTGCTCATGAAACTATTTACACAGCATTGCAAATCAGATTAGGATAGGGAGGTGAAGTAAAACTAACCACTCGTTTTACTGAGCTTTTTTAATGCCAGTCACTTCCCCAGCTTCAGCTGCCGGAGGAACATCAGTCGGATAGAGCAATGAGCCTCTCATGGTGAGGCACAACTCACTGACAAGAGAAGAGCACAGTAAAATGCAAGCTGCTGCCAACAGCCCAAGAAGTAAGTTCTGTCAGTCCTAGAAGCAGAGGTGCATGCAGCTGACACTCACCAGTCCCCACAGCTCGCCTGCGTTTACTGACTCGGATACAGCAGCTATCAGGCAGAGAGGTGCCACAGGAAAGAAGAAACACTGGCAGCCTTGGGCCAGAACAGGGCAAAGAAGAGGCAATGTGATAGGTGAATGCAACAGAGAGGTGGATCCAGCTAGCTTGGAGCTCTGAAGAGGCTGGGAAAATAAGCTATCAAAGCCTTCACCACTCTCTAGCTTCTGGCACGCACACCATCCTTAATGCCCCAGTCTCTCAAGTAGCAGCACCTTTGGTTGAACTGGCTACTTATGATGGCGACAGTAGTAGTAGGTTTTAAAGCACTCCTTGTCATAGGATGTTTCTGCCGTGCTCATCATGTGATGCATAGCCCAAGCCTTGACAGCCTGAATTTGACCGTTCTAACCCCAGAATCACTTGCTTGAATCTCTGTGGACTTTCATGCCCTTCGGATGGAGGAATATCACCTCCAATGACAAGCCTTGGAGCTATGTGCTAGTGAGTTACCCTGTATAGCCAAACTGGTTGCCTAAAATAGCTCAGGACTAAAGGTCAATAGTTAGTTAATTGTGTATATTGACATTCCCATCTAATGCAATTCAGTGAGGTCACAGTGTGGCCTTCTGCACTGGTGTTTAGATAATCACAGCAACTCAGAAGGCAGCAATCCCTGGAAGCCTACAGCTCTCTGGAGGGTTGCCATCAGGAAGAAATATATATGTGTGTGTGTGTGTGTGTGTGTGTATGTGTGCATGCATATATATATACACATGTACATATGTATATATATAATGTGCTGCCATAGCTGGTTGTTCTCATTCTGCCCCCACTCCATGAACAGCGTGATCTGTTGGTAGAAGAACTCAGCCTTTTCTGATTACCTACTTGTGATTACATGCTGCACACCAAAACCCAAAAAACCTACCCTCCTTCAGAAAATAAAGTCATCTTTGAAGTAAGTCATAGTGAACATATCGATGGCTTGGGTATATTCCAAGATAACCTGCTTATCTGAGATGGCACTTCTGGGTATAGTTGCTGTCATCTCACTCTGGGCTGCACTTCAGTACTAGCAATTATATCTCATTTTAAAGAACAGGGCCTATCACATTCTAAAAACCTTATTAAATTATTCATTGAAGGTAAAAAGTTAGAAACAACTTAACTCCAGAAGAATTCCTCCACTGACTGGAAGCAAAAAAAGGTTTTCCCCCACACCTGCAAACTTCGTCATTTCTAGGTGTCACATGAATAGGAACAATACCATGGACCTACTCTTTGTGCTACAAAAACACCTAGAAGTCTCAGCTAAGGACCTGGAACTAACATACTAATACACATTTAATAATGGAGCATACCTCTCCTTTGGGTAGACAAAGGGTTAGAGAAAAGAAGCACAATTTTAAGTCTTTTACTCAGGAGGAACTGCAGCACAAGGAGCTTCAGACAAACACAAATTTAACAATAGAGCAAGGAGCCAAACACTGCACAACCCAAATTTCAACCTGGCATTTTGACTATGGGTTTGCCTTTATTTTACACTGTGATGAACCCATTTCAAAACTATGCTCTTCTGCTGGGCTAAAAAAAAAACCAACCAAAAAACAAGAGAGCAATAAAAATCCTAAAAGGTAGCTGCACCTGCTGTCAAAAAGACTGATGCTAAAAGATGTCTCCAGCACCACTAGACCATTGCAGCAGTTTCTGTCTGCCTCCCTTCCCTGTAAGAACAACGGGAGCACAGTGATAATCTTCTCCACTGAGCCAACTCTACCTACCACCAGTCGCTCTGGGGATTAGAGACACAGCTAACCATAGCAGGTGTTGGCTAAGTGGAGACATCTCCCACTGCCCTGGAGTTGTCCTGTCCCAAGCACAACCAGTGAAGCCCACTACCTTTAATGCCCCCACCCCTGGCCCCAAGCAATCCCCCTGCACTGCGATGCTTTTTCAGCACGCAGATCACAGTGCTGTGATCTGCAATGGGCCACTGGGAGTTCTGTTCAAATCAGATTTGTCTCTGCTGGTATTAACACATCACAATGACGAATGTGGCAGAAGCACATGGGAAAGAGACTCAGAGGGACGGTTATCACACCCTCCGTTTTAGAAGAACTCATTGCCAAAGAGCTATTTTATCTCTCTCACATAGATCCTATTTAAATGTGTATTAAGAAGGCAAGGCTGCTGCTAGACATGGACATGGCAGGTACTTAACCTTGCATGGTACTTCTCCAGAGGCAGCGAAAGCCCCAGGCTCTGCTCCCTCCTCAGTTTACACCACAGAAACCAAGACCAACCACCCCATACCTGTTCCTATGGCAGGATCTAGATACAGACAGTGATCTAGGAAAGAAAACATCAGTGATGGGGGTCTTGTGAAAAAAGGCACCAAGTGCCACTGCAGGGCGCTCCGTAACTAACCTGGCCAGTCTTCAGATAGGGAAAGGACATCTACAAAGAGCCCCAGGGAACCTGACTCTGTGCCACCGCTGCCCCATTCCCCTCCCCTCCCTTTGACAGGGGCAGCCCCAGCCCCGCCTCATTCACAGTGGCAAAATTCAGTTCTGCCTGCTGTGCTGAGCCTGACTGAAGTCAGGCAGGGAGGTCTCGATTAAACCCAAGGGACACATCCATCATTTCTCTCAAGCCACTGCAGAACAAATATAATTGCTTGGCTCCAGCCATCCACCAGGATGCAACATATTTGTGTTTTTATGCTTTCAGCAAGTGCTGTGTTCCACATACACGTTGGCTGATGGCTCTTGCTAAAGTGCACTGCAGCTGTAAATCTCCAAAGCTCATCTGTGGAACAGACGTGGTCGTTTCACTGCACGCATGCCAAGGGAGGCCTCCAGCTGAACTAGCAGCAGTGCAACGAGACCAACCAGCCGTGCCGAGTTTACTAACCTGACACTTGAGATAGCCAGAACAGGCCACCTACGGACAGACTGGATGTTGTGAAGGGCAGACAGCCCTGCTGACAGGCTGTTTTTGAAAAGCTTTTCCTAAATACCAACATGGCAGGATCAAACGTCAGTAACTTCTGGTCTTCTCCATTAAATTCTCCCTACCAGACTCGTGCCATTTTGACTTCCAGTGCATATTAAAATCAAGTGTCTTTAGCTGGGATAAGAGGCATTATTAGAATGGACAGTGGTTAAAAAAATGGGGGGAAGGGAAAAGATGTGAGAAAGAGGCATCTGAAATTTTCAGGATGATCAACTCCACCATATAATTTTGGCAACAACTCGATAGGAACCGGCAGTCAGCTGCTGGAAGAACTTTGTTCCGTATGTTATATAATGTATATGACTATAATTAAAATTATGTCTAGAAACTAGGAGCAAAGCTGAAGTCAGCTTCCCCTCATTCTTCCTAAGGAAATCTAAAGGAGGATTCTGGCAGGAACTTCCTCTAGAGATACCAAAGCCAAAGGCACTAAAGAAAGCAGGCTATCTATCCTTTCAAAATCACCCCAAGCATAATTCAACCTGCCTATAGCACACTATTAATGTTGACTAAACCCAGTAACAACTACACAGGTTCTGCAGGGAGAAGAAGAAGAAAAAAATATGGCCCTTTGACTTTAAAATCTTCCTCAAAATACCTTGAGTGGACTAAGGGAACAAAAAAGGAAAGGAAACTCCTTCAGGCTCCTCCTTCACAGGGTGCCCTCATACCTATATGAAGTACGAATGCAGCCCCGGGAAAGGGGATTTATCACAGCACAGGGAGACTGTCGCACTCCTTACCAACATGACTTCACCGTGCCCCAGCATGAGATTACTTGCTTTTGTGGGTGGGGAAAAGAACATACCTTAATCTTCACACTACACAATTTTTCCTGTATTTTCCTTTTGCCAATAGCTCAGTAGAAGGATTTTTAAAATTTTTTTAAACAACTTCTCTTTCCAACCTGAACAGAACACCTTTGAGCAGCAGTTCTTTTCAGTAAGCCTTGGTCATCTGATAGACTACAGGATAGCTAAGCTCTGCGACTGAAAAACCTGGACTGCTTTTCTACAGACGAACGCTCACTGAATCCATCAAAGCTTCAGGCAACAGTGGATATGTGTATTCATATGCTTTTCTAAATCTGTTCCAAGCTGATGAACAGTGCAAATGGATTTTAAATTTCATAGCAAGCTTAGGCTACCACTTTGCATCTGCACTGGCTGCCATTCAGCCCAAGAATAATTTAATACTTGACAGTGTGCTTCTGCTCAAAAGATAAAACTGTACAGGCCTTCAGAAAAGACAAAGCATTTACATTTTTTAAGGAGTGCACTTTTGATTCCTTTGCTGTGATCCCAGTATTAGCATTTTCAAAGTTTACCCCTTAGAGAGCCACGAAAATAAGACTACAAAGCGCTTCCCCACTATGCTAAAATCAGCCCTCCAGAGCAATCAGATGACAGGAACAGCACACAGATGACCTGAAGATATTTCCATATGTCACATCATCAGTTTCAGGATATATCAGACACTTTAAAGCTAAACAATATTACTAATTTGAGGATAACTGTTTACAGATCAGCTTTGTTAGTGACCTTGTTTAATCTGCTTGTAAGCACAATTCCTTTATCTAAGAGCAGAGGGCATGAATTACCACCACTGTGAAAATCCCTTTTTTAGCTGCTCTCAGTGACTAGCTGTGTTTTAGGGTCAATTTAATCTATATTTAGAGGACGAAGCTTCTGTAAAGCTTAATTATTTCTCTGTGTGGCTTGTATGATGAAGGCACTTACCAGTGAACGGTGGCTTCTTGGCCCAAATGCTGGCTTAGGGTAACAAGTTGAGATGTGGATCTGGGCTGTATACCCCTGTGCCCATCGGGGCTGTTTCAGCCAGCATCACTGTGCTTGAACAGGGCAAGCTGGGAATCGGGCCGTATCCAACTCCCATGACTAAATCAATTCAACCTGCCTTGAACGCTACTTTTTTTTTTATTTCAAAACAAAGATAGAAAAGATTCCAGAAATTCAAACGTTTCATGTGGAACAGATTTAAAAGGAGTGTTTGAAATATACACACCAAAAATCAAAGAAGGGCCTGGAGGAATGCCACATCCCCCAGCGTGCAACAGACTGCACAAAACCTAATGGCACCATATGAAGATCCTCCTACATCTTATTCCCTACTCCTTTTTCTGCTGCTTCTGACCTCCATCCCTATCCAAGTATTCAGGTGATTGTTTTTTCTTGGCCTGGCCACATGTACTAGCATCCCTTCAGCTTCTCTTAGCATCTGCCTCTTGGAGAACTGCCCTTTTGCCCCTTCCTCCCAAGGGACGGCTCCACCTGGCCCCAACACTTGGGGTCTGTGTTCGGAGGGGTCCTGCTACCTCTTCCAGCTGATCTCATTTTCAGTGGCACCATCTGCCTGCCTCCCTCCTTGATCACTTTTAGCCCTAGGGCATTGCTTTCCTTGGTCACACCAAGTAACACAGCATCCTCTCTTCGCTAGAGGCTGAGTTCTGACTCAATCCTTTCCACTCATATTGCACTGTGCAACTGAGAGCAGTGGAAAGATACACAGTAATAACCACAGCGGGTTCATAATGACATATCAGCACCAGAAAGGCTTTGAATGTAGTGTCAGTGCCAAGCGTTTGTAGCAGATTTGCTACATTGCTACGCTGTAAGCTAGATTTGGGTGAAAAAATAATAGCTGAAACAGTCATTTCCAGGAAGCATGATCATTATTTCTGTACACACACACACACACACACACATATCAACATATGTGGAAATGCAGCATATAATTGATTAAACTAATCTTTGGTTAAATAGCTCCTCTTAAAATGGTGTAGTATCAACAAGCTCTGAGGATTTCAGAAAGGGCTATACAGGCACCCAAGCATTTCCATACTTTTACCTTTACATGTATTCAATCTGCCAGGTTGTTATACCATTCTAAACAAAAATAAAAGGCACCTTCCTATTAAACCTCAGAACTAATGAAAAATTTTCCATGTACTTAAGCTTCCATGCAGCATCCCACTACTATAATCTTTCCTGTTTTGTCCTACAAATTCCTTGCAACAGCTAACCCACCTGTAGACTGCAAAATAAATTGTTGCAGCTTAGCACTGAACTGCCTGGATGTACAAGGCAGCGTTTGGATGTATGAGGCAAATCAGGGGACTGATTTCACTGATGGGACTTCCACCTCTGTGCTGGTTTTGGCTGGGATAGAGTTAATTTTCTTCATAGTAGCTAGTATGGGGCTCTGTTTTGGACTTGTGCTGAAAACAGTGTTGATAACACAGGGATGTTTTTGCTATTGCTGAGCAGTGCTTACACAGAGCCAAGGCCTTTTCTGCTCCTCACCCCACCCCACCAGCGAGGAGGCTGGGGGTGCACAAGAAGCTGGGAGGGGACAAGGCTGGGACAGCTGACCCCAACTGACCAAAGGGATATCCCATACCATATGACGTCATGCTCAGCATTTAAAGCTGGGGGAAGAAGAAGGAAGCGGGGTATGTTTGGAGTGATGGCATTTGTCTTCCCAAGTAACCACTACACGTGATGGAGCCCTGCTTTCCTGGAGATGGCTGAACACCTGCCTGCCGATCAACCGACGAGTTTTCTCACTTTTACTCTTCCAGTTCTCTCCCCCATCCCACCAGGGGGGAGTGAGCGAGGGGCTGTGTGGGGCTTAGTTGCCGGCTGGGGTTAAACCACGACAACCTCTTGCCCTTGCTAGAAGCTATCTCCAGAGTGGAGTAAGTGCACAGAATGGATCAGACACAGAGGCAACAGAGGAGCAGTAAGAACATCAATACCTCTGGGAAGTTCATGTTTGCAACCAAAAAGTCTCACCCGTTTGAACTGGCAAAGCTGACTTTTGCTCCGCTTGAGAACTTCAGCTTTTGCAATACGCAGCATCATGTTGAATGTCTCAGTGTTTCAAGATGGATTGAAATATTGATGTCTCACTTGCCAGCACTCCCAGGGAAAGTTTTGCCAGAGTGCAAGGTCCTTCCCACTGCACTGCCACACTACCAGTTCTCAATAAATCAAGAATGAACTGTGCAGCTTCGTATGGGTACCAAACTGCTGCTGCCAAAAGGCTTGTTGTGCCGAATTTCAGACGCTCTGGGAAAAGTACAATGACACTTAATGATAAAACTACCATCTCTGCTGAACAACGCCTGAAAATCCAATTAAAGATCCCTAAGAAGAAAGAGCCAGGGTAGGAAGGAACAGGCACAGCCCCATTTTAGAAAAGCACAGATGAGAAGTTATCCTCACATGGTATTTATTTCAAAACCTTTCTGTGAATGCACATTTTCTGATGCTGAATGCAAAACACAATCCCGCATCACTCCACGATAACAACACCTTCAGCTTGGTCAATACCTTGTGCACTGGACAGCTGTCCTGCTCATTATTTCAGACACCCAGTAATCTTGTCTTTCTACTCCAAAGTGAAAGTTGTCTGTGCCCATATAAACCGTAAATTAAGTGCAGCCACTGTTTCCTCTGCTGAAGATAGGCATGAATAGCTTCTTATATCCTGAAGTACCCAGAATAGCAAAAAGGGACTTGAGCTTGTCACAGCCATAATGACTCAGCCTCTCATTAAATGTCACTATCACCAGCAACATGAACTGTGGCAATGAAGGGTTGAGGCTTATGCACCCCATGAAAAATGCTGGTCAACTAGCACAGCCTTGCTTGCATGAAGGCTTTAAGCAATTGTACCTGTGTAAGCAAAAAGGTGCGAAGCTTCCAACTAATTAAAAATCTTCTTATTTGTAATGCTTAAGTAGGAGTAGAGTATGTATTGTAATAAGTTATCTTGGACAGAAGATACTTTTTTCCTAATGGCATAACAAAGCAACTGTGCTTTTGATATGTCCATCGGCTATACTGAAGTGTGACTAAAACGGGTAGAGCATCAGGCTTCCCTTACAAGATCAGGGCCTGTAACAGCAAACATTTTAAAACACTTACATAGTCATGCCCTGATAACAATGCATTTCATGGCACTAACAAGAATTCAGTGTTGAAGTGACAATAAAATAATATTTAACCACATATCCAATATGTATTATGGGATGCATGGCTATACATATCTCACAGAGAACATTACATCAGATAGCTTATGGTATAAAAGAACACACTTGAGTGATTTTCGGAGCGATTTTCCCCCCAAGATAAGATCTCAGGCATCTGTCATCTATCTTGCTCCTACCAAGCTAAGGAGGCTGACAGTGTGAAAGACAAAACCTACTGTAGCTTCCATTTCATTTGACCTGTAAAGAGAGTCTGCAAAACACCAGAGAGTTCTAATGTTTCATGAGTGACTATCAATGACAGACAGGCATAAGAAGCATTTTCTACTGGTCACGTTGTCACGTATAGTACCCCCATTTTGAAATGAAAGAAATCCCAGTATCCCCAAGTTTATCAAAGACTGAGTTATATTGAGGAACATACCTTTGAGATGTTACTAGAGCGGCTCACGGAATGCCCCAAAGCCTTCTCATTCTGAAAGAGGAAGAACAGGATCACTGCAGCAACAAATCACAGTTATGAGGATATTTTAAAGCTGGTATTAGAAACCAAAGTCCATGGAGAAAGTCTTCCAGCTGTGGCTTTTAAGGATGCTGCTTCTACTGACATCAGCCTGATTTCCCACAATCACGCTTTGTTTGCTTAACAAGATATTACCTTGCAGAAAATCACATAGGCAAGACAAGTACAAACTGAGAAACACTAGAACAATGATTTCTTCTCTCTATGAATACTGCAAAGCCCTTTCCTCAGATGGCATCTGTTTCGGAAAGGATATTTCTCAGCTCTGCCTCATCTACATCCAAAGGCAAACATCCAACCACTAAAACGGAAAGCTCTGGCTTAAAGAAAAACAAAAGTATCACAGTGATATCCAGAAACAATTGTGAATATTCACATGCATGTCATTTCAGGACATGAAACACAATTACTGAGGAACTTCCCATTTACCTCAGAACTCAGAATTAAACTGGAAATATCATACAAGATGGAAATGCAGAAGCTGCAATTCTTGAAACTGAAATCAGTGACCAATGTGTCTCTTACTCACTTTTCAGTGCACAGACCCTGACTGATAAGGATGACAATCTTATCTCCTCCCAAAATAAACTGTAGGTTTCACCAAGGTATTTCATCCTTTAAGGGTTCCTAGCTTCTGAACATCAGTTTACAGTAAGTATAACTGGACATGATTGCTCCACTGGTAAAAACCTAGAAATTGCTCTGCAAAAGCTTTTCTGAATAAAATCCAACAAGAAATACTTTCTTCTAAACAAATATTACAAACAGAGCAAGTCATAATGGTTGGTTACAGAACAGTATCTATGTTCCTCTAAGTCTGTGAAGCTGGGATGCAAATTGGTTTGAGATTTAAATCCCCTGAAAAACAGGGCAAATTTACTACTTTCTCTTATAGACTCTATGCTGGATTAGAGTTTCTAGAAGTGCATCCTTTATCTGGGATTTTAGGAACCAAACTCTTTCACATTTATTCCTGAAGACAATCTAACCCAACAGAGACACTTCAACAGCACCCTCTTTCAGTCCTCATTGGCACTGACTGATCAGGCAGAGCTTGAGATCAGAAGTCCTGCATTGGTAACAAATGGGGACACAAAAAACGTAGTCAACTGAAGTTAATCCTAGACCAGCTTGGATATAACACACTGGTTTCAGACCCTCTGCCTGTGGTTTGTTACAATTCAAGCGACCTTCAGTGACTAAAGCCCACGTCAAGTCAGCCCGGGTGGCTGGGCACCCAGATGCTACACCCACGCTTTGAGAACCCTGCGCTCCCAGACATTCCTTCCTACAGCACATCCCCAGAACAACTTCAAAGCTTTGTGTTGAGAAAAGAGAAGGCAAGGCAAAAACTTCAGCATGTGCTTCTGAGAGCAGGCAGTCCCTTCCTTACAACACCAGTTGCCTCTCAACACAGTCCTGGGCACTGCCTCAGTGGACGCATATAAATTGCACTTCCTGCCTTAAAAACGTGAGGAAGCAAATACAGTGTTCTGAAATCCTCCGTATGTAAGAGTTTGAGTACCTAGAAGACAGTAAAATAGTCTTTCAGAAGAAGAGAGGAGAAGCGACCAGGGAACCCCCCTCAATTTTGACTGATGGCCAAATTACAAATCAGCAAGGATCAGTTTAACATCTGGAATAGTTGTGGCCTAAACTACCATTGACTTGAATGCCAGATTTGCATACTGCAAGGCTGAGTTTGATTTTTGAGACGACTATGAGTTTTTGTTACATAGATAACAGTATTCCTGGAACAGAAACGAACACGTAAAGACCCCCAAAAATACGGATATAATGGTTCTGTGAAGACTAACATTGGACAGGACTACTGCCAGAACCTGTATGGCTAAGAATTGACTCCAACCGTAAGGGAAGGACCTAGCTGATTTCATCAAAGGCCGTGTAACTATAGCAACAGGAAAAAAAAGTTCATTGAAGCTATAGAAGACAGGAGGAAGAAAAAAGGGGGCAAGGACATGTTCTCAAGCTATGACAAAAAGAGACCAACACAAACCGGCAAGCACAAAGACTTGTCATTGCATGTGTGCGAGGTGCGGGGGGAAGCAGGCTATACTTGGCCTTCTAGGGAGACGGGGGAGGTAAACAAAGCAAGGCTATGTGGGACAAGGGAAAACGGTAGTGAAGAGCGGGACCCGTGGCCAAGAAGTCTGCCTGAAGCAACACATACGGCTCCACACAGGTGACAGTCTCAAATCCAGCCCTAGATGTCAAAGACTTCCGGGTGAAATTCCTAAAGACAAAATTAAATAAAGCAGAGGTTTCTTCACGTTAACTCAACGCTCCCCAAATACTGTTGTCTAGCTGAACAAGATGCCTGCAAGGGAGCATGACTGAACTTACACAGGCACCCATGTTGAAAAGGATGTGCTAAAATTCAATAAGCATCAACAGGCTGGAGGACAAGACCTATATTTGCACAACATGGTAAATGATGCAGAGCGAACATACTCTTAGCTACGCCACAGAAACTAGTCGTTCTGCTCTGCTCCCAGAACTGATTTTATCTGATGGATGCCAGCAGCCTCTAAGAGACAGATGCTCATATTATCTTTATTGATCTACTGTTGGAAACATACCTATCACAAGTTTCAGTCAGTAGATGACTGCGAACAGTTGGTTTTGTAATTGAAAGAGTGATCATTTTTAAACAAAAAAGCAGACTTGTAAAATATTCCCTTAAGGGTTATGGAGTGCATGCACACATACATTTAAGTGCATCTACACCAATGCACGCAGC